AGTTATCAAAACAGTGTGGCGCTGGCATAGATATAGACTAGTACAATAGAATTGGGGATCCAGAAATAAACCAAGGTATCTATGGCAAATTGATTTTAGACAAGGGTGCTAAGTCAAAGCTGTGCAAACAGCTTTTGGAGAGAAAGTCTCTTCAACAAATGGTGCCTGAACACTTGGATTTCCACATACAAAAGAATTAACTTGAACCCATAGCTCACACCATACATAAAAATTAACTCAAAATAGATCAACATCCCAAATAGAAGAGCTAAAATCATAAAATTCTTAGAAGAAAGTATAGAGATAAATCTTCATGACCTTGGATTCTTACATATGACATCAATAACATGAGCAACAAAAGAAAGAAACATAAATTTGATTTCGTCAAAATTAAAAGCTTTTGTGTATCAGAGGATGTTATCAAGCAAGTGAAAAGACAACCTGCAGAATGGGAGAAAATATTTGGAAATCAAATATTGGATAAAGGTTCAGTATCCAGAATATATACAGAACTCCTACAACTCAACAACAACAAAAAACAATTCAATTTAAAAATGGCCGAGGACTTTTGAATAGATATTTCTCCAAAGAAGATACACAAGTGGCCAATAAGCACATGAAAAGATTCTCTCCATCACTAGTCATTAGGGAAATACAAATCAAAACCACAGTGAGTTACCACTTTACACCCATTATAGTGGCGATTAAAAAAAAAGAGAAGAAGTATTGGTAAGGCTGTGGATAAATTGTTATCCTTATACATTGCTCCTAGGGATGTCAAACGGTACAGCCACTGTGGAAAACTGTTTGACAGTTCTTCAAATGCTAAACATAGAATTACCATATGAATGAGTAATTCCACCCCCCTGGGTATACAGGCATAGCTCAGAGATACTGTGGGTTCAGTTCCGGACCACTACAATAAAGTAAATATCACAATAAAGCAAGTCACTTGAATTTTTTTGGTTTCACAGTGCATGTGAAAGTTATATTTACACTGTACTGTAGTCAGTCAAGTGTGCAATAGCATTATGTCTAAAAAGGCATTGTACATACCTTAAGTAAAAATTACTTTAATCTGAGCCTTCCATGAGTTGTAATCTTATGCTGTTGGTGGGTCTTGTAAAAATGCAGTATCTGTGAAGCGCACTAAAGCAAAATGGAATAAAACAAGGTATGCCTATATCCCGGAAAGAATTGAGAAGAGAGACTCAGGTATTTGTATGCCAGTGTTCATTGCAGGATTATTCATAATAGCCAAAAAATGGGAACAATCTAATTGTCCATTAACAGATGAATGGATAAACAAAATGTGGTATATACATACAATGGAATATTATTCAGTCATAAAAAGGAATGAAGTTCTGATACACGTTACAACATAGATAAAGCTTGAAAACACTGTGCTGAGTGAAATTAGCCAGACGCAAAATGACAGATATTGTATGATTCCACTTATATGAGGTTCCTAGAGTAGTGACATTCATAAAAACAAAGTTGATTAGGAGTTACCAGGGGCTGGGATGAGGGGGAAAATGAGGAATTATTGCTTAATGGTTACAGAGTTTCTGTTTGTGTGATGGATAAGTTTTGGAAATAGCTAGTAATGATGGTTACTTATGATTGTGAATGTGATCAACGTCACTGAATTGTACACTTAAAAATGGTTAAAATGCAAATTTGTTAAATATATTTACCACAATAAAATAAAAAGGAAAACAAAAACCAGTTGACGATAAATGTGATCTTTATTTCGGGACTTTAATTTGTACTCTGTTGCTTTATATATCCATCCATATGCCAGTACCACATTGTCTTGAGGACTGTCACTTTGTAGTTACTTGGAGTTAGAAAGTGGGAATCCTCCAACATTCTTCTTTTCAAGATTGTTTGACCATTCTGTGTCCTGCATATCAGTTTTTGAAACTTAGTTCTTAAGCCCAGCTCTGCCACTCCTAGTTGTGGGATCTTCAAAAAATTGCTTATCTCATTTTCTTTTCATAATCATAATTATAGGTTATGAGAGTTAAATGAGAAAAGTACCTGAAAAGCCTTACATAATGCTTGGCACATAGTAAATGCTCAAAGAACTACTAGTATTAGTATTGCTACTTTTACTGCCATTATCACTGCCAAGGTCATACCATCTTTATACGTTGACTAGAGTAAAATAGAACTCTTCCTCCAGAGTATGTTTTTTCTTCAACAATGAAGACAGTGTGTTGTAATAGAAAGAGCATGAAATCTGGAATGTCTGTAACTAATGAAATACTGATAGTATGTTAAATTTAAAGATATTTTAAATTTAGCTGTATTTCATGATGCCATGAAAAGAGAAGTTATTTTCAGAAATCAGTTCAAAAGTCAAAATTAATAGTTGGGAAAGGTGCCATTAATTTGATTGTAGTTAGGGAATAGGAAAAAAAGATGAGTTGAAATAAGTTTATTCTTGAAATTTTCTTCCTGTTTTTTTTTTTTAGCTAACTTGCTTATGACTCAGTTGTTTAATTACTTCTAGAATGTTTCTTTTTACTGGATTTTTTTTTGGTGTTTTATCAGCTTTAATCTGATTTTTCATTTCTACATTTAGTATAATACAGAGGCCCTCCAAATTTCCTCTGTTTTTAGCTATATGATCATATGATTATCCTACTGTTTTTGTCAACATGCTATTCATATGCATAATATTTATATGTCATATGTCCATTTTAATCCAAGTAGGAATATGTCAAATCATATATCTTACCTGTCATAACTGTTGTCATTTGTTTGAAGTTGATGTAGGAATACTAATTTGGAAGCCTACCTTCCCAGTGTTGGGATTCCAGCAAAGGCAATATTTGACGGACTGTTAGTCAATATTAATCAAGAGAAAAATGAATTGTTTCTTGAAGTAGAATTGAACTGAAGTTTATCATAGCAACTTTATTTTTATTTTTCTTTTAGAAATCAGCTATGGCATCTTTGAATCATTACTGTACTAACAAATTGAAACTATTTTTGTTATCTATGCTGTTTATGTAACAGGTGTTGTAAACTGCTTGTGTTATAACCAGTCTATTTTGCAATGATAGGTACTTTTTAAAATCTTTATTTTGAAATAATTTCAAACTTTCAACTTCTACCTAGTTCTCTTGTAATATTTTAGTGCATTATATTACAGATATTTGTTTATTCGTCTCCTCCCCTACAAGACTGTGACTTCTTTGCATCCTCATTCCCTGGCTTATATCCATTACATCACATGAACTCAGTGAATAAAATGATGAACTTGTTATTTTCAAGGCTATAAATCGAAGTCCTCGAGGTTTCAGTAGTCTTTTTGCTCTAATGTTTTCACTGATAAGCCAACAATCTCAACTTCTAATTGAATAACTTTAATAATTGACAATGAAAACACTTTTTAAATGCCTACTTTAAACCCATTACAGAGAGTTATATAATTTTTCATTTTAGTAACATCTAGTGCTGTTATATTACTATATTTTACTAGTTATATTACTATGGTCTTATTTAGTATATCACTTATATACCTTTTATAATATGAATCAAGTTAAATTTCATTAGTGTTTTCATCATTCCATCGTGGCACTTTAAGTCTAGGAAATAATTCTCAAATGAAGATCTGAGCACTAGTTTCATTAAGAAAGATAAATGGTAATATTAGAGAGTTTAAATGCAGAGTTTTTATTAAAAATCGTTTGGTTGGATTAAGTTATTTTTTAATGGAAACTAGAATGTCATTTATTAATTTACATTTGAGACAGAAGATATCCTAGTATCTAGAGTACGTAAGTGCCTTATTTATGATACTATCTTTTCTGATATTGAGACACTTATAACATGTTATCAAAAAATTCCTTTTTAAACACTGAATAGCAAAGGTAGGTAGGAAGGTAATCTTGGAGTTTAAGAGCATAGAGCAGCTATCTGATAGAGATATGATAGTAGCCAAAATGCAAGCCATATATGTAATTTAAAAGATTTGGTAGCTGCGTTTTAAAAACTAAAAAGAAGCAGGTGAAATTAATTTTAATAATGTGTCTTATTTAACCCAGTATGTCCACAGTGTTATTTTAACATGTAATCAATGTTTTTAAATTAATCTTTTTTATGCTAAGTACTTGAAATCTGGTATGTATTTTACACTGAATGTACATCTCAATTAGCTCCTTCACTTACTAGCTCCTTCACTTGGGAAAATTACTGAATCTCTTCGTGTCTCGATTTTCTCCTTTTTACAATGGAGACAATTGTAAGAATTAAATTAGATAATATATGACATTTCTGGTAAATGGTGTTACATAAATCTTAGCAGCTTTCTAAAAAAGTATATCAAACAAGTGAACATGAATGTAATCACATCATGGTCTCAAAGCAAAGATCTTGTGTTAGGGATTAAATTTGCAACCCTCAAACACTCATCTCTTTCCCTTGGACAGTGCTAGGCACACATATCTCTCTGACTCCTTCTTTAAATTATTTTTAAAAAGATGCAAAATCAATATTAGTTCATCTGTTGTAACAAATGTACCACAGTAATGCAAGATGTCAATAACAGGGAAAACTGTGGTGGGCAATCTGTGCAATGAATTTCTATACTTTCTGCTTTTATGTAAACCTAAAACTACTCTAAAAAGTGAAGTCTATTAATTGAAAACAAACATGGTGTCTTCTATTGATTCTTGATACATCTTAGTTGTGACAGAATCCATCAGTAAAAGTGGCAGTTTCAGCATCATTAAAACCATCAATAACAGAAGTTCAGCTATGGTTAAAAATCTAACAACGTTTTCTCTTCCAGTAGTCATTCAATATCTACCTCTTTTTAACCAATATATGGAAAACTTAAGCACAAAATGGTTGTTTTTCCTCCATGATTATTGGGGTGGGAAATGAGCACTTTTTGGTGGCACTCTGATGCTAATGGCAGAAATAGTCCATTTTTTTTTTTATACACTGTTGCCGGTTTTGAGAATATTTTCTTCTCCTAATTTCAGGTTGGGTGGGACTATATCAGCATACAAGATAGTACCAGATGAAATAGAAGAAATCAAGGTATAGTATGGCATTTTTCACCTCTACAAAGACTTAGTATCTTGGAGGGAGGGGAAGAATTGCTTTTTCTTTAGACTGTTGAATCTTTGGGTGTGTTAGGATATCATTTAATTCCCAGTTATCCTATTTGAATTAAAAAAATATACATCAGATAATCGCTATCAGATTTCATCTATCATTATCAATGAATTTCTACGAAAAATATTAGGGGAATCAAAATAGAACCCTTTCCTGTGAAATTCATTGAAAATCTGCTTAAGAAAGTACTGTGTATAAGCATTAGTGTGCATACTGGATTTTTTTTTGTCTTGTTTTAATTTCTTTTCCCTATAAGCTTTCGAAACAATTATAAACAGGATCAGTCTTCTAGTAAATCTTTCCTGATTCCTTCGAAAACACAGTATGCCGATTTCAATTTAATATTTACAGTCCAATAAATTAAAAATTAACCTTAGTTTTTGAAAATTACAGCATTACTACATTCTCCTGTCTCTAACATTTTAATAAATCTTATGGACTTTTGGTCTTCTAGTGTAACATGCATCCCTTGTTCAAAAGTAATTTATAATCTAATGAGAACTGAGCGTACTATCTATTCTGTAAAAAAATTTGACAATTAGACAGCAATAGTCAAGAATAAACAATACTGGGGCCACCCAGTGGCACAGTGGTTAAGTGTGCATGTTCTGCTTTGATGGCCCAGGGTTCGCTGGTTCGGATCCCGGGTGCGGACATGGCACTGCTTGGCAAGCCATGCTGTGGTAGGTGTCCCACATATAAAGTAGAGGAAGATGGGCATGGATGTTAGCTCAGGGCTAGTCTTCCTCAGCAAAAAGAGGAGGATTGACCGCAGATGTGAGCTCAGGGTTAATCTTCCTCAAAAAGGAAAAATAAATAAATAAATAAAAAGAATAAACAATACTGAGTTAAGTTGTTAACAATGGCAAGTAAAGATCTCAAGAAATTAAGCTTGATTTGATCAAACTTTCAAAATTAAGTTCAGTAAATTCAAATCTTAGTAAATAATTCTTTAATTTGTTTACATTATTTTTAAACCAGTGAGGCTCAGTGATCTTTATTATGTAATATATTATTAGTTTTAATATGTCGGATGTTCTGTTTAGTCAACATCAGGAATTAATACCATGATTATGTTCTAGCATCTAAAATAACCAGGAATGTCAAGAGACTCATTCCAACTTGATAGAAATTCGTAAAATAGTTTGGGTGGAAAGAACCTTAGGTCTGATCTAGATCCCTTATTTTTCGGAAGAGAAAATGGAAATTAATAAAGGTGAGCTTGTTAAAATTGATTGTTTGAGGTGTAGTAATTACTTGCCCAAAATATAATCAAGTGTGGTTAAAGGGTCAGAGTAACCAGAATTTATTATTTCTGGAAATATTTTATAATGACTCAAAAACAAAACCAAACTCTAGAAGCTAAGTAATCCATAAATGTATGTATAAATAATTAAGCAGCATTTATATAAAGGATATGGAGTTAAAAATCCATCTATCTTAAAGGTGCTCTGTCTTATGTTACAATTATAATACTTGTTAAGTGATAATGGTAAACAAAACATTCTATGAAATACATAGGAAGGGTACTTGGCCATTGGAAAGAGATAATCAGCAAAGTCTTTCCAAGAGGTAAACTCAGCAAACTGGAGTTCTGTGCAGAGGCAGAGGCACTTGTGAAAGCATAAGCATGAGATAATTTGGCATCAGATCTCAGTAAAATAAAGACTGTTGAGATATAGGACTGGCAGTGGGCCTTACTGCCATATTAAGAAATTGGGATTTTATACAGAAAACTATGGGGTGCCATTATGTGGTTTTAAGAAAAAAGTAACGTAATTAGCTTGGTAATTTTTTTAGATTTTTCTATGATGAGCAAGAACAATTATTTCAGCGGAGAAAAGGAGATTCCATCCACAAGGAAGGAAACCAGATTGCAGGAATGTAGGCACAAAATAATTAAAACCTGAACTAAAGCAGTGGCAGTGAGGTTAAAGAAAAAACTCAGATTCAAGAAATATTACTTAAGAAAGTAGAGTAAACAGTACTTGATTTATTGGAAGTTTAGGGGAAGATGGAAAAGTTGACTCAGGTTTCTGGCTTGGAAAACTGAGTAGATTGTGTTGCTGTTAGGGAGGAGAAACAAGAGAAGGAATAAGTTTGAGAGGAAAGAGGGTAAGTTTTGGACTTACTGAATTTGAAGCTAACCAAGTATCCACTAAGTCATTGGATAAATTGGCCTGGAACTCAGAAGACAGATAATTCTTTCAACTGATACTGAGATTTGTCATTATGCAAGAGTTAGTTGAGGCTGTGCCAGTGAATTGAATCACCTAAAAAAGCTATATGAGGTAATAACAGTGGATGAAAACTGATGCCCTGGCGAGGGCACATCATAGAACCAGAGGACTGATATATTCTTTATTAATTAACAGAAATGTTGCTCTTTTTTTAATAGTGACTTTTCTCTAAAGAAGTTGTTTTGTCATTTTGTTTTTGAAATTCTAGAGTCATAAGAATTATCCCTCAGGAGATTCCTTGAAAAAAACCATGATTCATAGATGATATGTAATATATGATTTTCTCCATCAGTTACTGGTAATACATCTAAAACAGCTTCAGAGAGTTTGAGGCCTGAGGCATAAAAACTATGAATTGATTCTTGCTTTCAAAAGTGTTGGAAGAAAAGCTGTTATAAAATATTTCAACATTTGATGGCACCATTAGCATTTTCAGCTAAAATCAGATACAATCTTTTTGTTTTGATTGGAGGAAATGTGAAACATCTGGTTGTAATGTTCATTTTAGTTGGATAACGTCTAGGTGATTTTAAATTATCTAAATAGTACAATTGAGTTTAAATTCAAAATATACTGCCTGTAGTATACCATGTATAAATAAATATACATGTGTATTTTTACTATTAAAGAGATTTGATTGATTGATGAAACGTAATTCAATTTTTGTCAGATGTGATAATCTTTCACAAGGTTTCTAGCACCAGAAATCATTATTTAGTTCATACTTTGTTTGAATTAAGCATACATTTATTGATTACAATGACTCACCTAATAGTGAATGGATGCTTGGCCAAAGGCTTAAGGGATAAAGAACGAATACATTCTGGCCCAATCACAGGTATCTCTTCCACCCAATGTCCTGAGTTTTTATCATTATCAGCTCCTTTCTTTTATTTAGTTTTACCACCTGTGTACACATCTCTAAATATTATACTTTATTTGTGCTTCTCTTTGATTTTAATATGAATTGTATGCAATCTTTTGTGCCTTGCTTCTTTTGTTCACCACTGTTTGTGAGATTCATCCATGTCGTTGTCTATAGCCAAAGTTTTTGGGTTTTGTTTTTATTTTTTGTTTTTTTTTGGTGTAAAATACTCCATTGTGCAAATTATGGAGACAATCTGTTCTTAGACATTCAGCTTGTTTCCATTTGGAATTATTATGAAAAATGCTGCTATAAAATTCTTGGGAAGGCATTCTGCTACACATGTGTAAGAATTTCTCTAAAGTATATACTGAGGAATGGAATTCCTGGATTTTAAGTAATGTGTATTTTCAACTTTTCTGGATGAAATTAAACTGTTTTCCAAGGTTGTTATGCCAATTTACACTACCACCTTGGATGTATTTATTTTAAATAGAGATATTTAAATATTAACTCTATAATCTATTTGTAATTTATATTGATATAAATTTTTTTAAAAATTATGTATTGGATGACTAAACTGACAGAATATTTTCCAAATGTATCTTTATTTTTCCAGTCCAATTTATTGGAAAACCCATCTTTTCCCCCACTGGTTCAAATTGCCTCATTTATCATAAACTGGAACAGGCATGGACAAAAAAGCACCTAGAAAAGCCTGTTCCCCTTGGCCAAAGGACCTGGGACAAGAGTAGAGTAACAGAAAACCTTTTTGGCAATACTTGCCCTACTCCAGCCAAACCCAATGGGAAAACTACTTAGCTCCCACACAGTTTCGGCAGAGCCAAGTCAGGTAGCTGGTCTTCTACTTCACTCCCTGCCATCCTACAGGAGCAGGTGACAGAGCTGTGAATCCCTCCCCTGGTGATCCTGGCAGAGCTGAGCAGGGAACTATATTTCCATCCATGGCGGAGCTCTGATTTTCCCACCAGGATACTGTAGGTGGGACCAAATGAGGAATTGATCTTCCATCACCAGCCCAGGGGAGACAGGCTGTGCTCTGATTCCTCTAGCAGAGTAGAGTCAGTGGGGTCCAGTGATAAGCTGAGTCTCCACTCCTTCCCAGCAGCAGTAAGACTAAAGAGGCAGTGCAAGGTGGGGCTAGTCACCATTCTGCTTCACTTTCCCTTTCCTGTATCAGTGAGGCCTATAAGGGAGAAGAGCCTTTTACCCCTGTCTTTATCAACAAGACTGAATGAGAAGGAGATAGTTGGTACTCTACTCTCAGTATGAGTCAGCCTTCCACATCCCCTCTTGGTGTCAACAGGGCCAAGCAGGGAGCTGAACATTCACCCCTACTATCAACAATGTGGAGCAAGGTGATACCCCACTTTCACCAGAAAGGTTTCAGCAGGGCCAAGACAGGAGCTAGACTTATACCCTACTGTCTTCCATGAGGCAGTGTAAATTGGTGCTTCACTTTTGCCAAAGTGGTGTCAGTGGAACCAAGCAAGAAGCTCAATGTGCATATCCCTATGACCCTCATACTATTCTTCAACAAGGCAGACATCTGCTAAAAAAGAAGATTAAATAGGATCTGCAGTCTCATAATACCCAAAATGTCCTGGGTACAGTCAAAAATCACTCATCATACCAAGAACAAGGAAAATGACAACTTGAATGAGAAAAAACAGTCAAAAACACTAACACAAAGATGACTCAGGTGTTGGAATTATCTGATAAAGATTTTAAAGCAGTTATCATAAAAATGCTTCAACAAGCACTTATTAATTCTCTGAGACAAATGAAGGAAATAG